TTTTATAATTTTTAAAAAATAAAATAAATAAACATTAATACCATGTATATATATTCTACGAAAGAGCGTATTAAAATCTCTATTTAGAAGCACATGTGAGCAGGACCAACAACATCCGAGCTTTAATTGATTGCGTCAACTTCTCTCAACCAAAATACTAAATGATGATGTGTACTTTCTTTTCTTTTCTTTTTTTGGACGGGCTATTTTGGGGAGAGAGCAATGCTATGAACACTCCCCATTTGTACTTTTCAACCAATACTTCCATTTTCATTCGACCACGTTATGTTGGTTGGGAGAGTCAATCATTTTTATGGCAGAAGCAAGCTTTACATGGCACAATAAAAAAGCATGTGTTGCCTGGAGAATGGTGGGTACCCCGAACACCGCTTTTGAGGAGGTGGGCTCAAACTCCAGTCTTTAGACTGGAGTGTACCTTTGTTATGAAACATATAATTATAATTATTCGGTCGTGAAATTCAAGTACAAATGATGATGTGTACTTGAGATCTAAAAACCATAGTTAGTCATGTGCTCCTAATTTGTAACCACATGATATGGAACATTCCCACATCTTACATGATATAGAATATTCCAACATCTAAGGAAGGGCAGGGAAGCAATTTAACTTTACAAATTTTATTTAAAAAATTTTTAATTTATATTTTAAAATACAAGTTAAATTTTATTAAATATAATATTTATATTCAAAATCTATAAAAAAATATAAATTAATATAAAAATTTATACAAAAATAATTATAGATATTATAACTAATAAAACTTATACTCTTAAACTAGAGATTAAACAAATATTTTTATTTATAATTTCTCAGTACAATTAACAAGTGAAATTATATAAAAAATTGTACAATAAAAGTTTATCTCTAAATAATTTTACCCAAAGAGGTTCTCACAGGCAAACATCAACCAAATGACAAATTTCTACTTCTTACTGACATTTTCTTACAGATCTCTTAATTAATCCCTCGTTACCAGCCAACAATTTGTACTTGTCTTTCCTAGTCAAGTTTGTGCACTTAAATCCCAAGGCCTTGGCAATCTCTCCTTGAACATGGTTAGCCACCTCGAATTTCGATCTTCCGCCCATCTGACATGTCTCTGAC